CCTCAGGCGGTTTCCTGTCTTCATGCGCAACGTCCTCTGTCTTCGGATCAGCTTGTGAGGATGTCTAAGGCGACGCGCTGGTTTCAACACTCCCAAGGGACAACTCCAGGGGCTGGGAGCACTCCAGGATTCGGGCCGAGATTGTGGGGGGGAGCTCAGGAGGTTTCCCTGCTTGCATGCGCAACATCCCCTGCTGTCGGATCAGTGTGTGAGGATGCCTCAGGCGAGGCGCTGGCTTCAGCACTCCCTAGGGGGGGCCGCCAGGGTGGGGACACTCCAGGATTCGGGCCCACATTGTGAGGATGTCTCAGGCGGTTTGCCTGTTTGCATGCGCAACATCCTCTGCTTCTGGAGCAGCTCGTGGGGATGGCTCAGGCGAGGCGCTGGCTTCAGCACTCCCAAGGGGGGAGCCGCCAGGGGGTATATCACGGGCCCGGTCGCGCCCAGATTGCAGGGATGTCTCATACGGTCTGCTGGTTTCGGACCCCAGGTTCGTCTGCGGCCAGGACAGAACGTGGGGATTGTTCAAACTGGTTGCCAGCTTCGGTGCCAAATACACGTAGCCTAAAATCACACTCACACTCCGACCACTCACACTCACATACGTCCAGACCTCTCACGCTCGACTCTCTCGTACGCAGACAGCCACGGCGGAATGTGTGGGCAAGTTGATGCACACATGAGGATCTCCGCGTCGAGGAATTACCCGATCATTCCTGCCCCACCCCCCTCCCTGTCGGCACGCCTGAGACGCGCCTCCCGACACCTCGGCGCTGTATCCAGGGTGCGCGGCCTCCCAAACCTTGAGCACCTCGCGCACTCGCGTGACCTGGGCGGTCCACGAGAGGGCGGGCTCTGGGGCGGAGGAGTGCGAAGGAGGGGGGGGCGAGGAGGAGGTCAAGGGGAGGGCAGGGAGGGATGGGGCGAGGAGGGGCCAGCGGCGGCAGGAGAGGGGCGACAGGGGATCGGAGCGAGGAGCAGTGGCAGGAGCAAGAGGCGGGATGGAGGACGGGAGGATTGCAAAAAAAACAAGGATTGCAAAAAAAACCTTCGTTTTTTTGAAGGATTGCAAAAAAACAAGGTTGTCTTGCAATCCTTCGTTGTTTTGCAATCCTTCGTTTTTTTGCAATCCTTCGTTCGAGGGAGAGGGGGAGCGCACCACTTCGGGCAGGAGTCTGCACAGGCCCGCGGGACACCAGCTCCTACAGGGCCCTGCCTCGAGATTGCAGAACGTCCCGCGAGACATAGCAGGAGTGGTCAGATGGCGACCCCGACTGGAAAAAACTGGAGAAAACGGGGGCGTGGCACGCCCCTTTGCGCGCCCGTGCTACGGGGAGGCATCGGTTATGAACGCGCTTTGGGATGCGCGCCGCGTTGGGGCATCGCCTCAGCAGCCCAGCGCCTGGTCTGCTGAACAGATCCCCCGATGCTCTCGCAGCGCACGCAAAACATAGAGAGCCAGCAGTGGCGCGATAGCGGTGAGCACCATGTCGCGCCTGGAGATGCTCCTGGGCGGTGCCCCCAGGATGCGTAGAGCCTGTTGGAACTCGTTCCTGGCAGACTGCGCTCTTTGGGACCTGTCAAGGAGGGGTCTGGACTGTTCCCGGATGCTACGCAGCGTGTGTGCGAGGCTTGAGGCACGCTGTTGCAGCGCCATGATGCTTGTGGTCAGAGCAGTTTCAGGCTCGTGGCCAGGCAGTTGCCTGGCCACAGTGAGGCGTTGCGTGAGGGCACGTCTCCGATCAGTGGGCTGCGCTGGTGGCGCTCGGGCACCTGCACCCCGGCGCGCGGCACCACGGCCCTTGGTTTCCGTTCCCTGGTGGAGCGGGGGGCGGACCTGGCGGCAGGACGCGCCGCGGCGGGGTGCAGGGCGCGAGCCCCCGCACTGGCCAGCCCAGCGGGTTGGGGCGACGGCGCTGGCTCACAGGGGGGCGCAGTCTGCGACCCCTCGCCGACCATGCGCAGGTGCACTCCCAGGCCATTACCGCCTGACGCGGGGTCCTGGTGATCCTTCGCCTCCTGAGGTGCCGTCGCGTTGTGGTTTCTGTGAAGAAGAAGTGGTGACCACCACTGTGCTGGCTTCCTAATGGGGGGTGAGTGCATGTCGAATCTGACGCGCGGCCCAGACTGCGGCGGCGCGTTGCATTCGCAGTGTTACCATCGTCGTTGTCAAAGAAACACCGAGACTCAGTGGGTCGTATGCTTCTTCATATTATTATCATTCGTAGTATTAGTATTAATCGTATTATATGATTATTATTATTCTCATTCGAAGTCGTCGGGGAGGCACGGATCGTCCAAGATCGCCATGGTATTATACCCCTGGTGGGCCTTGCGAGTGAGGCGGGTCACAGGGCGAGCACGGCAGCTCATCCCCCCCGCCCCTTCTATTGAGAGGCTTGGGTTTCATTCGGTGGAGTTCCAACCTGGGGTTGTCAGCTCGCCTGCCAGGTAGCGGCAGCGCGCGGTGGCGTCGGCCGCATATACGTAGCTACAGCGG